AAGGACACCCAACTTGTACCTCTGCTCTCTCTGCTAACTCCATACACACCTCATGCCCCAGCCATTCCCAAGCCACCCAAAGGAACTACTCCTGCTTCAATAGCCAGATCTGCCACCCTACCTCCTTAGGCAGGACACCTGAACACAAACACAGTTTAGTGGGGGAGGCCCATATGAGCTGATGGTGGGTTGCTACTCTTAGCACACCCTACCCAACACGCATGTGAAAGCAGAGGGACAAGTACCCTCAGGAGACACCCAGAATGTATAGCAAGAATGTATAGCAAAAAGGCAACCCAGGTCTGGGTCTGCTCCTCATCACCACACCCAAGTCTGTGAGGACATTTGTGACTGGCGATTTTTATCTAAAATAATAAATTTAATCCAGAGATGCCCTGTTCCTGAGAGCAGAGACCACAGAGGTGGCCCAGCCGGGACAGTCGGGGAAGACCAATCTCCGGAACACAGCCCTCCAGCCTCCGGGCGGATGGGGAGCACCGGCCTTCAATTTGTGGGGACATGTTCCCCTTTGCTTTTTCCTAGTGGTTGGGGTACAGGGAATGGGTAGGCGAGAGAGTTTAGTTGTCTGAACCAAATTGATCCCTGGCTAGATGCCCAGGGTCAGGGAGAGGTCCAAGCTTGAACCTGACCCATGGACTGCCAAGGGACCCTGCAACCATGAAATTCAGTAAATAGTCTCAATGTCAAAGCCCTGAGATGCAGCCACACAAGGGCACCAAGCACACCTGCTCCACCCACAGGGCCTGAGCATGCCCCCGCCTCAAGCACTGCCAAGCCATGGACTCAGGTTTCTGTGGCTGTGTCCTGTCAGGCCTCTGTTATGCCCTGCCAGTCCCTGGCTCACTGTCTCAGAGGCCCAGCTTAGCTCAAGTAGAAAGTCCCTTCTCCTGAGACATCAGCTAGTGTACAGCAGCGCAGCTAAGAAGCACACTACCTTTGAAGCTGGCCCAAGTCAGAAGATAACCTGAGCACCTCCCAGGAATGCAAATGCTGTGTGGTTCAGTAAGGACAGAGGCACAGAAGCCAGGAACCAAGGGGGCAGGCTATCCTGAGCGAAGCTTCTTAGTCTCCAGCGCCCCTTGACCTCTGCCTTGCCACTGAGACTCCGGAGGGGCCACGAGGAGTCCTGTGGACTTCAGAAACTTTTCTAAGCTCCAGAAAACAGATGGGTGCCTATGGCCAGCCCATTCCACACTACCCCATTTCAACTGGAGGATCCCCTGAATGCTGGGAGTCACAAACACCCAACCCTTTCCCTGAACCCCAGTCCCCATAAACGGCACACTCTCCAGGGCAGCCAAGAACCCCGATTTCCACCCATAGAGGAGGAATGCAACAGGACCTGTGCTTAACCAGACACAAGGGGAGGTGGCTTTGAGGGTGGCCTTCTGCACCCCCGCCTTGACCAGCTGGGCGCAGGGGGCACCACTGGATGGCGGACAGAAAGCCTGGGCCCTCGCCTGTCCATCAAACAGAACTCTCTGGCCTACCTACGAGGATAGTCAAGTACTCGGATACCCAGCTTGCCAGACAGGTGCGTATATACACCAAGGGTCATCAAGGCGCAGAGACTCTACCTACACCTGCTGTAGATGCGCGAGCAGGGTTGCCGGCGCCGGGGGCGCTCTGACGTCCCCAGACCCGAAAGCCCTGCCCGCACAGACAGGTGCCAGCTCGTGCCCGCGCGGGGCCACGGCTGGCACCGCACACGCGCGGGAAATGGCCAGCACTCCCGCCCAGGCCGCGCGGCCCACTGACCCGAAGTCCTGGTCCATAGACTTGAAGAAGAATTTGTAGGCGTGCACCGGCCGGTTGCTGAGCACGTTCTTGAAGTCCGCCAGCGTGACGCGCTCGGGAGCTACGGGCAGCTTGACCAGGTACGGCGTCTCCTCCTCATCCATGTGGTAGATGATCTTGGTCTCCGCCATGGCGCGGCAGCAGCGACGCGGAACCCGCGCAGCGTCAGGGCCCGGCTCACCTCTCGGACGCGGGGCGCCCTCCCAAACCGCCGGCCCGCGCCCCGCCCGGCCGCCCCGCGGCCCCTTTGCGCGCCCGCCCCGCCCGGTCCCGGCTCGCACCCGTTCCCCGCCTGTTGCCCCGCGGCCCGCGGCCGCCCATCCACTGCCAGCCCCGGAACGGGCTCGAGGGAAGCAGCTGAGAGGGTTACTGCCGCCCACCGCCCCCTCGGGCTGTTCCAAGAACCGCCTGGTGGGGTTGAGCCCACGGCCACCAGAGGGCGCGCCAGAGTCGGTTACGTCACTGGACGCCCGCAGCGCGGCCGGGGCGGGGCTACGCACGCGCGGGGCGGGGCGGGGTAGGGCGGGGCGGGGCTACGGCTTGCGCACCAGAGTGCCAACCTGGATTGGGACCAGGCGGGTTCGGGAAGCCTAGATGGTTAGTTTTCTCCGTGCGGTAGCATGGGACGGGGGTCTGAGTTCCCCTAGCCAGGAGCCAAAAGTGTGCCCTGCGCTCGTCCAGATTCCCTATAGGCAGGAATCCGTACGTCGTCTGGGTCTAGTGTTTGTGGGCAAATGGGCACGCTCGGCCCCAGAATGGCAAAGAGACCCTGGAAAGGTTGTGCCCTTTGAGCGAATATGATCTGCCGGGGAGCAGAGGAGCAGAGGTGCATCGTCGGGCTAGGCCGGTCCGGTTATCCCACCCAGTTCCCTTAGTGCCGACAATCCAAAGGTGATGGCTACTCTGGAAGCTTCAGGCGCTCCACAAGAATTTGAGATTCCTATGTCTAGCTCAAGACAGCGAGAACCTTACTGCGTCTCACGATAATCCTGAGCTCGGTTCTTATGCGCACTGCCTTATCCCATCGGATCCCCAGGTGCAGATGTGCACACAGCTGCAGCCAAAGGGACGTTGTAATCAAAATAGCCAGGTGTCTTCCCCAGGCCAAGGAAGACCAGGCTGCACCTCAACCTGAGAGTTGACCCGCTTGCTAGGCTGAAGGCCTCCCCTACTCCAGGATGGCCTAAGGCCCTTTGTTGACCAGTAATAAGATCGGGGTAATGCACAGGATACTGGTCAGCGATGGAGACAAGGGGTGTACCTATTGTGATCTGGGACCATCCCCATACACTATGCCAGCACAAGGAAAGACCATACCACTACTGTCTGGAGGACCCAGAAGTTAGACAGAAGGCACTGAAGTCAGCCTAAACAGAGTTCTTTCCTTTAATCCCTTACTCCCATCAGGGGCCTGCTATCCTGGGAACCCATACTGCCTTTAGCAGCATCTGGTCATCTTCCTTGAATCTATACAGAAGTAACCCGAAGAAGCCAGGCAAGATGGCTTCAGAGAGTTTGCTCAAGGGAGAAGGAAAACAGTCCCTTTTCTGAGTGCCTCTCAGGTCAGACACAAGATGCTACTGATCACTCATATTCAAGGGTTCCCACCTGACACCCCAAATTATAGGAGGAGCTAGTAGAAGAGGTGGATGTGAGGTTAGAACCTGTGCCTTTCTAGGAGTGGTTTTGTCTAGTAGCAGTGTGGCTACTGGTGAGCCAGAGAGATACATCTTCAAGCTATACCTCAACAGGTCACTGAGGTTCTTGTGGGTGATTGCCATACTTTCCTATACTCACTATTCTTTGGAGAGCATTGGAGGGGGGCAAGAGTGAAGAAACAGGACCAATAAGATGGCCCAAATATTGAAGGTGTCTGATGCTAAGTCTGATGACTGAGTTTGAACCCCAGGACCCACATAGTGCAGGCTGAAAGTCACCTGAGGAAGAGGAGAATAGTTTCCTGAAAGTTGTCCTCTGACTTCCACGTTCATGCCATTCATTTTTCTACAAGCATTCGCACAATATAAATGAGAAAAAGACAATAAAGCAGGGTGTGATGACATGTGCCTTTAATCCAATCCCAGCACTAGAGAAACAGAGTTCCAGACCAAGCTCTATGGTTAGACGTTGTATCAAAAAAACGAATAACCATCTGGGCCTCCATGAGCACTATACACATGTGGTACACAGACATGCATGTAGGCAAAACACCCATATACATTAAATTACATATATAAATATATATATCTTAAATTTTTTAATTTATCACTTTATGTATTGCATTGGTGTTTTGCCTGCATGTATGTCTGTGTGAGGGTGTTGGGTACCCTGGAACTGGAGTTATAGAAACTCGTGAGCTGCCACATGGGTGCTGGGAATTGAACCTGGGTCCTCTAGAAGAGCAGTCAGTTCTCCTAACTGCTGCATCATCTCTTCAGCCCCAAATTTGTAAAAAATTTTAAAAAGGGGGGAGGGCTAAAGAGATGGATCAGAGGTTAAGAGCACAAGCTGTTCTTCCAGAGGTCCTGAGTTCAATTCCCAACAACCACATGGTGGCTCACAACCATCTATATATAATGAGATCTGGTGCCCTCTTCTGGCATGCAGGCATACATGCAAGCAGAACACTGCATACATAATAAATAAATCTTTATTTAAAAAAGAGAGTGAGTGAGTGAATGGGAAAAGAAGTCTGTGGCTCTCTTAGCTGCTTTTGTACCTCTGAGTCTGCTGAAGTCCGATAGCCAATACCCAGTATGACTAGCCCTAGGGGACTAGTTCTTGAAAACTAATACCTGATCCTGTTAGCCAAACTCTGCCTCTTGGGGCTCTTTCTGCCCAAATCTCCTTAGCCCTGTATCCTTGGGAAGCCTGCCTGCCTATCTTTGCTTCCTCTTTTTACTCCATTTTGACATCTGCTTCTCAAGGAACTGGGCCAACACCATTTCCTTCTGTGTCCTCTCTCCCCTTCTGTCATCTTATACTCCCCCTCCTTCCTGTCCATACTCGTACTTGGAAAAGGGACTGAAATTCCTTCACCATGGAAAATGGTGACTTAGACCTTCCACTCAAGAGGTAGGGAAGGACAGTGGAACTCAAATGAAAGTTATGAGAGCACCTGGGATGTTCCCAAGGCCCAGATATATCCTCTATTAACAGAAGGGGAACAGCAGGGCCAAGACTAAAAATCAAATGTGTTCTTTATTATGACATGAAAACTTCCCCGGTAGGAGCTGTTTGATGCACAGACCACTCAGAACTCTCTTCCCCCATCTTCAGCCAAAGTGGAGGACAAATGGAGCCCCAATCCCAGACTCCAGCCAAGGGAGGGATATCAAGGCCAAGAGTAACATGGTGCCCAGTAACTGCTGGTACAACTCTTGGAAGGCATTCAGCAGAAAGGGACCAGAAGCAGAAAAGGGGCAACAGACCTGCTCCAAGTGGCCCAAAGCAGCAAGGAGGGCCGGCCCATGAGTCAGAACATATGACCACAGGGCCCTGTGCAATACATAGATATAGTGCAGTCCAGGAAGACCCTGGGGGCTTCCTAAGACAATGGCTAACATGTTGAACTGGTGACTAGAAGTCTTAACTGGACTACCTTTAAGTGTCTTCTTGCAGGAAGAATCTACAAAAGACTGTGAATTTGGTGGACATTAACAAGGGATCTATGTCTGTTGTGTCAAAACGTTGGGCGTATGGCCACCAGTGGGTACAGGTGATTGAAGGGCAGCAGCCATACTATACCAGAGTCCCTAGGGAACCCACAGTTGCTTGCCAAGATGAGGGTGATTCTTGGAAGAACAAAGTTCAGGCAGCTGCTCTGCCAAGTTCAGGCCAAGCGGGACCAGCCGCTGAGAAGAAGCCGGAGTGCCACAGGAGAGTCAGGGAGACATTCTTTGACACAGAGCTGCTGGCCCAGCCAGAAGCTCAGGATCCATTTATTTGCAGTACTCCTTCCTGAACTCTGGAAGCCAAGAAAATGGCTAGTGTCTACTCTCTGTCCCTTAGTCCCAGTGGAAAAGTCAGGGAAGACTAACTTAGCATGACTTCCCAAGCCCTTCTCAGAGAAGATGACAGAAGTCTCCTATCCATAGGGTCCTGTGAACTAGTAGAGTCATGTGTGGGATGAGGGGATGGGTGGTGGGGTCTCCCTCCACTGCTCACCTTTATCCAGATCCACATTCTTGGCAGGCAGGGGGCTGTGGGCCAGCTCAGCCCTCTCTTTCAGGATGTTGTTTTTGTAATCTGGTTAGAAGAAAAGAGTAAGTCCCACCCAAAAAAATGCACTTCCCCTGGACCCTTGTGGTCTTCACTCCTACCTAGCTGGATGTCCTCAGTCCTATAAGGAGCCTGGTCCCTTGTGGCCACAGCAAACTCCATCATGTTCACATCTTTCCTAAAGGGATATTGGAAGTTTAGGAGGCTACGGGCAGGGCAGGTCTGGGAGGGGGGTTGAGCAGATAAACTCACCCCTTTGATTTCCCAGCTTTTTTGTCTGAGGCCTCGCATCCTGTGAAAAGAGGAGTGTCGGGTCAGTTTCGCTGTCCTCTGTTAATTCTGGGCCCTTCTGTTCCAAGGGTCCTGCCTCACCTCCACGATGGCGTGTAGCCAAGACTACAGTGATGAGCAGCAAGATGAAGAGCAGAAGTGTGGCCAACACGTAGCCCAGTTGCTGGAAGAAATGACTGTGGTTCTCTGGGACAATGACGTTGATGACGCTGTGCCCTCGGGATCTACTTACCAGCGTGGGATCTACAGGTAAGTAGCAAGCATCAGAAACCCTCACAAACCAGGTGTGGTAGCACCTGCCTTTAATCCCAGCCCTCAGGAGGCAGGGGACCAGCCTGGTCTACAAAGCTAGTTCCAGGACACCTGAGGTTACATAAGGAAACCCTGACTTGAAAAACAAAAACAAAAGAAGAAGAAAGAGAGGGAGGGAGGGAGGGAGGGAGGGAGGGAGGGAGGGAGGGAGGGAGGGAGAAAGGAAGGAAGGAAGGAGCCTCTACAATACCCCCAGCACCATAGGTCACACCAGGGCCCCTTCTCGGGGCTGGTAGGCTGCACACACACCTGGGCCAGGAGCACTGTTGTGGCCTGACCCATTACCGGGAGAGGCAGGAGCAGGTGGCTCAAAAGTGGGTTCGGTGACCTGTAGGTGGTAGACCCGGCGCTCGTGCAGGCCGCAGTAGTGGTGGTGCAGGTGGCAGGAATAGATGCCCTCATCAGCCTGCTCCAGGGCATCTATGCGTAGGGAGAAGTCGCCGCGCGCAAAAGCATCGGCTTTCACTGCCACGCGATCACGCAGGAAGGATGGCCCGTAGGCGCGGCGCTCACCAGATGCGTACAAATCTAGCAGGCGGTCAGCACGGTCGTGTGGCACCCCAGGTAGCTGTCGGTCCCAATGGACCACCTGCTGCGCCTCCTCTAAATGGCGGTCAGTCCACAAGTGCTCACGGTTCACGCAAGTCATCAGTGCCGGCATGCCGCGGGCCACCACCATGACTTCCTTCTCGCCATCCCAGTACGCACGAGCTAACAGGGCTGCGGATGCATTGAGAGGCAGTCAGATCACTGGCCGGCAGACCAGTGAAGAAGGGGAAGACCAGTTGGGGCAGGGATAGAAGTAGCAAAGGAGAGTGAGGGGCATACTCACGATCGTCGGTGACCTCGAGGCGCACGGCCAGGCTCTCGTAGAGGTGACAGTAGTGGTGGTGCAAGTTGCAGGTGTACACCCCTTCGTCGCCCTCCTCAACAGCTGCTTAGTAGAAGACGACCTCAGCACGTGGGACCCATCCTCCTCCATGGCCCCTCCCCTAAGATTATTCTGTCCCCTCCATGGCCCCGCCCCTCCAAGACTCCACCCTTACATAGGCCTCGCCTAGTCAAAGGTATGTGTCCGCCCCCTGCCAAGGTTTCAACTTCTGCTGAAGTTTCAGCCCCACCAGGGTTCCACAGCATACCGCGGATGAGCAGTGAGAAGTTGCCGTCTTGGAAGGCAGAAGGCGACAGCAGGAGGCGGCCGTTGTCGCGCGGCTCGTACACGCGCTGTTCACCCGCCGAGTACATATCCACGAGTCGGCGCCCTTGGCTGCCAGGGACACCACTGAGGTCCCAGTGGATCACGCGCTGGCGGTCATGCAGCCGGTCTTGGGTCCACACCATGCGCGGGCTCTGGCAGTTCAGCACCGCCTGGGTTCCGGCTGGCCATTTCACCACGGACTCAGACACCACAGAGCTGCTGGCTGCTGCGGTCCCTGCGGGCCCTTGTCGGGAAGGGGGAGTCAGCGGCAAAAGTCAAGATGGGTTAGGAGAGAAGTCGTCGACCCTAAAGGGACCCAGTCCATAGCTAGGTAGGAGATACTGACCTGAGGACAGAATGAATGCGGGGCCTGTAAGGAGAGGAGGAATAAAGCTGTGGGGCATTTTTCACCTTTGCATCCCAGGACCCACCAGCTGGAAGACCACTTGGGACCTCCTGCAGTCATGATGCCTACTTAACTAGTTCTGGTAGGGAAGCCTGCAGGTTAACACCATTAGTGTCACCTTCCTGGCTGTACAGACAGCTCTGGTAAAAGGGAAACCAGAAACCTGGCCGTGTGTAGCAGGGAAGAATGTGACTCTTTGCAGGCTTGATCTGAAATGTGAGCTTGAAGTAGCCAGTATCACATCATAGCAACAAGTCTTCCGGACAGCTCTAGCATGACACTGAGGCAACCCGCAGTAGTATATGCGTCTGTGCCGGACCTTTAGGAACCTCCAGAGCTCAAGCATTCATAGCCCTGTCCTACACGGACCTTGGGTGCAGTATGGACTCCTGCTACAGTCCCAACAGGTGACATGGGGAGTAAGTCCTGATTTGCCATCACTGGCCCAAGACTGCTGTGGAGAAGTGATTTAGGTCCCAGGCTTCTAGGAAAAATGCGCCTGGTCAGGAGGCCAGAGTGGGCAGGCCTGGGGGCCTGAAGAAGGGGTTGGAACAGACTCTATTAGCCCCTTAGTTGTAGACTCCCCTCTCCACATCTGGAAGGACTGCACCCTGAGCAGCTGACCTGGAGTCACACAAAGAATAGGTACAGGAGGCACCCTTGGTTACAACCTCCCTATTTCGGCCCTCTGGGGTTTCTGCTAGAGTATCTGAAAGCTTCGTGGACAGAAGATGAATTGCTGTTTTGAGGCAGCCGGCCCAGTTCTTTTCTTTGGTGAGTGCTCCCTTCCTCTCCCAGTCTGTGCTCCCTTCCCCTCCCAGCCTAAACAAACACAAAACAGTCCATACACCCGCTGACCCACACCCAATCCCCACTGTCTCTCACTCACTCTGAAGAAGCACCAGTTTCCACAGCAAGACACAGGACAGCAGTTCCATGGCGCCTGCAGGGACTGCGCTGGGCTTTGTCTACTCAGCTCTAACTTTCCAGAAAAACAGCCGCCGACCCCCTCTCCCTGCCAGCACCCGCTGACATCACGGAGCTGTGGGCAGGGTCTGTGCCCCGCCCACTGAGCTGCTCTATTGCCTGGCCTCCCCCATCCTTGGCTGGCCTGTAGTGTTGCAGCCAGCCGCCCTGTCCAGGCCCAGAAGGTGGGAGGGTCTGAATAGATGCTTGGCCAGTCCAGTCGCTCTGATCAGTCCTGGGGAGGGGCAGTAGCTCAGTCCTAGGACAGATGAAGAGGCCTGGATGTGAGGATTCCTGAGGCCATATCTGTGCCAAGCATCTGGTAAACTTTCTGAGCTGCAGAAGAACGGGTATTTGAAGCTGAATGATCATGATCGCATGCCCTGCTTTGACATTCTCCCAAGTGATCAGACAGGCCAGAGAACCCGGGGTTGCTTTCTCCATTCTTGTAGTCTCCCTGCCAGATCATGTGGCTCTTCCAGTTCCAATTTAGATGAGGGTTAACTTTTTTTTGTCGTTTTGTTTTTTTTTTTCGAGACAGGGTTTCTCTCCTGTCCTGGAACTCGCTCTGTAGACCTAGCTAGGTCTCGAACTCACAGAGATTCACCTGCCTCTGCCTCCCGAGTGCTGGGATTAAAGGCATGCGCCACCACCGCCCGGCTCGAGGGTTAACTTTTACTATGCCCTTCTCTAGGACCATGGGGTTACCTGGGGACAACATGATGGCAGTGTGGTCCAGTTATCTTTAGGAACAAGAACAGCCAATCATCCAGGCAGGCACAGTGGCCCATACCTTTAGTTCTAACACTTAAGGAGGCAAAGGCAGGTGGATCACAATGGATGTGAAGCCAACTTGGTCCTCAGAGTGAACTCCAGAGCAGTCATGGCTACACATAGTAAGACTCTGTCTCAAACAAAACAAAAAACACCGAACCAGGGAGGTGAGTGGTAGGACCTCTAACACTGAGGACCGAGTCTGAGTGTGGTCAGACTTTCCTCATGGACAGCTGGGGATGTCCACATTCATAAGGCAAATTCAGTGTCTGGAAACTAGGACTGGGTTACTGTGATCTGGGAAACGTGCACTTGGAGGAAAGGGTAGTGGAGCTCTCCCAACAGAAAGTACAAATTTGAAGCCCTGGGAAAACAAAGTCATATAAACAAATGGGAAATAACAGAGCAGCACTGTGTACCAGCCCACTCCTACTAGTTAAGCAAACCTCAGAACAAGAAAGGAAAAGAATCAAAAAAAAAAAAAAAAAAAAAAAAAAACCTCAGAAGTCCTTAAGCAGTCTAGGCCACTTCTTTGGATAGTAATAGGTACAGGCCTTATCCCTGGGGGTTGTTGGGGTGGGGTCCCCAAGTGCTCAGACAAAACCAGAGCCTCAGCCTAGCTGGCTCTTGGAGGGAGGGGGAAACAGGGAGTTGTGAGGCTATAGGAAGTCCCTCAGGACCTAAGGGAGCCAGCCATCCAGGATCTGGGCCAGGCAGAGCATGAACTTGGCCCCCAGCTCTTCCCTGGGCCTTTTATTCTGGAAAAACAAGTCCCACCCAGTAGGCCATCCCCCAATCCTCCTGTTCTGACCTTCCTTTCTGTTTTTTTTTTAAGTGGTGTTGATGCCTTACTTGCCACAGTGTCTGTCTCTACCCTACACTCTCCTATATCTGTCTCTTCTCTCCACTCTCCCATGGTTGTCCCGGGCTGTCCTTTATCCTGTTTTTTCTCCATGGAGGGAGAGTGTTCAGGAAGTGATGGAAGGACACAGAGGTAGACTAGGTCTGATCCTAAGTATGAGCAGTGACGTGGTCCCAGATAGAGGACGGAGGAAGAGTGCACTAGCAGGAGTCTAGGGGACCTGTTCCATACCTCTGCTCAGGTCTTCCCTTTGCAGACTCCCTGACCTCAGAGCTCCACTTGAGGTTTGGGGAACTCTCAAACTGCAAATCCCAGTAACTTACTCCCAGGTCACAGGCCAGATGCTGAAATCTATGGGAACCTTGACTCCCCAGAGACATACATGGGAACAGATGAGCCTTGGCCAGTGCCTTCTTCCCCTCATCCTGTCCTCTATTCTAGGCCAGAGGAGTGAAGATGGACAGCAGAGGTCTGTTTGCCCTCCTCCAGCACCCCCCCCACACACCACATCCTTAAGCAGGAAATAGCCAGAGACAAGAACTGGAGCCAAGCAGGCAGCCCGGGCTGCTAACCAAGCCACCTGCCCCTCCCACAGTCAAGGGCCTGAGACACTCCAACTCCTTCTGTGGAGCCCCCAGCTCCCTGCCCCTTGCTTGCCAGCCCCACCTAGAATCTTTGTCCCACTAGGAAAAGAACAGACCAGGGTAAAACCACTGACCACATGGCACTTTGACCAAGCTTCAGCCAACCCAGAGCCCTAGACCTATCTCCCCTTCTTTTAGGGGTGTGGCCATGCAAGGGGTATCAGCCAATCCTCTAGGCACAAAGACTAAGAATCTGATTTTGGCTCCTATTCCTGGTGACTCGGACATTCCAGGCAGCCCGGATCATTGGGAAGAAAAACCGCATAACCAGGGAGTCAGTCAGGCCCAACTCCCCCACCACAGGCTTCTTGTGGTCCCAAGGAATATAGTCAGAGCAGACCCAGGCACAAACGGAGAGTTGCTTTTTTCTTTTTCTTTCCTTTTTTTTTTAAAGGTTTATTTACTATGTATACAGTGATGTATTCCTGCATGCCAGAAGAGAGCACCAGGTCAGATCTTATTACGGATGGTTGTGAGCCACCATGTAGTTGCTGAGAATTAAACTCAGGACGTCTGGAAGAGCAGTCAGTGCACTTAACCTCTGAGCCATCTCTCCAGCCCCGGAGAGTTGCTTCTACATCCATTGTTAAGCATCCATAAAGATCCACATTGGTCTTCATTCATCCAGCACTTACTGAATACCAACTGTCTACCAAGCACTCAAGGTTCAGTGCTAAACTAGATGAATGCACCAGTCCTTGCCCTGTTGATAGGACCAGCATACTTATCTTTTATGATCTATTATTTTTTTTTTTTTTGAGACAAGGTCTCCCTACATGGGTTTCCTGGCTGCTGGGAACAACGTAGACCAGACTGGATTCCAACTTATGGAGCCACCTGCCTCTGCATATAAAGTGTTAGGATTAAAGGGTGCACCACTACACCCAGCTTATGATCATTAAAAAAAATTTATATGTACTTGTTGTGTGTCTCTCACATATACTACCTGCAGTACACTCAGAGGCCAGAAGAGGGCATCAGATTCCCTGGAACTAGAACTACACAGCTGCCTTATGTGCTGGGAATCAAACCTGGGTCTTCTGAAAGAGCAACGAGCGCTCTTAACCACTAGGCCATTTCTCCAGCCCCTTATGATCATTTCTAAATGACAGAAGTGGGATGGGCATGGTGGCACATGCCTGTTACCATAGCATTCAAGAGACTGAGGCAGTAGCTGGGCGGTGGTGGTGCACGCCTTTAATCCCAGCACTCCGGATGCAGAGGCAGGCAGATCTCTGTGAGTTTGAGAACAACCTGGTCTACAAGATTTAGTTCCAGGACAGCCTCAAAAGCTACAGAGAAACCCTGTCTCGAACCGCCCTCCCCCCAAAAAAAGAGGATGAGGCAGGAGGATCACCATCAGTAAGAACCTGTATTAAAATAAATGCAACAGGTATAGGTCTGGGCCATCTGGCTAAGGGTTGGCCTGATGGCACACAAAAATACTGAAGTGGTTTAGAACTGCCATGGACAAAAACAAAAAACAAACAAAAAAATGGAGGAAACGGTGCCTATCAAATCTTCATGGTGAATAGAATTCTAAGACTCTCCAAGCTATTCCCTCCAATCCAGGGAGATCAGCTCCCTAGAGTTTAGAGTCCCACTGGGAGCCAGGCAGTGGTGGTACACGCCTTTAATCCCAGCAATGATGGAGGCAGGAGCGGGCGGATCTCAGTGAGTTGGAGAAAAAACATACTGTCCTTGCCAGCCACAAACTTCCATGACAGTGGGAAGTAAAACCCATTGGAAAGTCAGACTTGCTTCAAAGAGCTTCTGAGTTGGCAATGCCCTGACCAGAGTTCCTCAGCAGAGCTAAGAATTCATTTATGTGGACACCCTGTGCATTTACTGGTTAGGAAACACACTAGGTACTCAAATATACTGGTTGTGTAGACATGTGGCTGGGATAAGCTCACAAAAGGACACACTGAAGTAGCTATTAGCTTTTAGTCTTGGCACCAACCCATCATGGGTTGAAGACTACTCTTAGCAGCCCTGGCGTGGCTGGAATCTAAACCCTGAGTATGCTGGGAGGGGCCAGGTTGATCAGTTGGGAGCAGAACCAAATCACAGGCCTCCCTCCATTGCATCTTCCCAGAACTGGGAGATACTAAGAAGGGGCTATGCATCCCACAAGAGAGAAGGCAGAAGAACGGATAGCCACTTGTGGCCTGGGAGGAGCTGCAAAGATAAAAATACAGCTCTCAAATTGTCTGTTGAGGTCCTGGCTGGTCAAAGTCTTCCAAGCCATAGGCACAGTGGAGAATAGACAGGACTGATTCGCCCATTGACCCACCCAGGACAGATGACATTGGCAACGATAATCTCATCCCCAGCACTGATTCTGTGAGTGGAACTGTGAATTATGTGGTAGTGTATTCCTGTCTTGTAGGAACCCAGTAATATCTGTTATCTCTAATTTCCATCCTAACAACCAAAAATGACTCCAGATAGGATTCAGGCAATGTTAAGAACCATGGGCCAAGCATGGTAGTGCATGGCTTTAATCCCAGTACTCAGGAGGCAGAGTCAGGCAGATCTCTGTGAATCTGAGGCCAGCCTGGTACATAGAGACCCTGTCTCAGAACACACACACACACAGACACACACAGAGCCATTATTCTGTAGGAGCCATTCTGTAGGAAGTGAAGTAGCCCAGGGCCTCTTCTGTGTGAAAACTGGCACAGTAGCTGAACCACCTGGGCCTCCTGCCTTACAGGCTTCTGCTGAGATCTGGAAGTTTAGCTCCAGACAGCAAAATCAAAACCTCATTTCTCCTCTAAAGGGAAGTGTGGGGTGAGCCACAGGGCAGCTCTTGGGCAGGGCTGGAAGGAAATACCAGGAGCAGCTACAGACTGCCAAAAGTGCCATCAGGAGGCAGGGGGCTACAGGGTTAGACTTGGTTAGAACTAGCTCAAAGAGGGCATGCTTCCCTTCACCAAGGCTCAATCTTGGAGGTCCTGGCCCTAGGAACACCACAGGAAGCCAGATTCAGGAAGAGTATCACAGCTGGCAAGTCCTAAAAGCAGTTTTCAGTCATCTGCTCTGGTCCTGGGCCAGGGTCCGTGGGATGCCAAGAGTCTGACTACAGCCCCCTTGTGGTCACTAGTAGAAGCACAGCCACATTATCTTTTAGCAGAGAACACATGCCCCTTTGGGACCAAGTCTTTTAGAAACCTGTTCACTGATTCACGTGTGCTGGGCAGGGGTCCTTCTGGATACTAAGGGACCTTTGGTTATCAGTATCCTCTAGTCTACCTAGAATTGTTAACTCTGATGATAGGTACCAGAGAGCAGAGTACATGGAAGGGCCCACACTGTCCAGGTTCCCCTACTTTGGCCTCGAACTCACAGAGATCCGCCTGCCTCTGCCTCCCATGTGCTGGGATTAAAGGCGTGTGCCACCACCGCCCAGCAGGTTCCCTACTTATACCCAGCTCCCTCAGACCTTGGTACACAAGGCCTCCAACTGTTCAGAGTATACATTCATCTTGATCCAGGGATACTGGAATCATGAGTGTCTCTACTTCAATCTCAGTAAGCCCTCAACACTGAACTTACCAAAACACACTGTTCAGACAACCTTTCTGATTAGTGCCCCAACCCACGCTTGAGGACTCCAGAACACAGCAGAGGCTGAGGAGCCAAAAAAGTGGCTGGAGCATCTGGGAAAGCTGGCACCCATGCAAATACCGTCCCCATAGCTAGATGATACCATCCCAACCAACAGGGCAACTTAAAGGGCTCATTACCTATAGGGGACCATACGTTATCTTTTGGGAAACCTGGCCTTTTTTGCTTCTCTACCTCATAATCTAATCACCACTCCCCCTAGCCCAGGTGCCCCTCAGCTGCAATGCTACCCAGGCCATTTTACCATCAGTATTTACACTGAAGCCTACCTCCCTGGCGCTGTTCAGTGATCCCACAGCACAAATCTCTACATATGGCTGTCATTTCAGAAGGCACAAATTAGTCAGACTGGGGGTGGTGTCAAAGACCAGTTGGGACATAGGCAACCATTCATTAGGCACCTTGGGCTCTGCATTCCTATGATGGAAGTCTGTTTCTACCTCAAGAGACTTCACGCCAGACCAAAACTCTAGGCCAGGCCAGAATAACTGAGTCCTTCCAACTTTTATTACAATGCATTAGCAGCAAGAGGGAGGGCCAACAGGGATGGGACTCCAACCAGACTCATTTGTTCTTCATGTAGATCTTTGGGGTCTGCCAGCTCTCAGGAGCTTCCTTCAGGCCTGCCTTCAGCCAGATGCGCTTCAGATCGTTCTCAAACTTGATCTGCAAGGGCAGAGGGGGGCAACCAGCTCATTCTTGGGAAAGCCAAGCACTCTCAACCACTGCCAATCAAGGTCCAAAGGAGAGACCATATTCACCTGCTTCCTTTTCAGACGTCCTTCCCGGACTTTACGCCGCTGAAACCGTGTCCTCTTAATCAGTTTGCGGTACTTGTGGTGGTTCATCTTCCGTCTTCGGATCTTCAGTACATTCTTGCACTGCATTGCAGTGGCATCCCTGACATCCCTGACTCCCTGCTTGGCTTCCTCCTCCTGGCTGGGTGGACACTCGTAGAATTGGGAGGGAACCACAGTCATTGGGACCCCAACATCCAGTTTGGGCAATAGATATCGAGCAGTCAGCCAGCTCTCTAGTGGACTGATGGACATCTTCCTGGGGACCAGGAACTCCTCAACCTCCAACTGGGCCCTCTTACCAGGGAGGGAGGCGGCCCGACTTAGGCTTGCAGGCTGCAAATTGTAAAGGGGTCGAAAACCATGGCTGCCGATCACCCCGGAGCCAGGCCAGGAACGACTGAAACCTGGGGGAAACAACACAGTCGCTACTGATGAGACCACACCGGAACACACCACCACTACTACCCAGGCTTGGGCGACACGCACACCCAAAACGGGCAGACCTGGTCCCTATTCTTCAGCCTAAAGCTGCGATGTACCTACCCCTTCAAACTACGTACTACATTTGTAGTATGACAATCTGTAGACAGGCCCTTATTTTCAGAACCGAGGTAAGACTGCTGAAGGCGAGCTGGGCCGCTATGATTCTCACCCCCAAATCCAGGCGTGGGTTCCGCTCTTACCTGCCCAGGGAACAGCCCTGACCAGCTGTGAAGTCAGGCGCGCCAGGAACATGGTGAGTTGATGGCCAGGCCACAGGTGCTCAAAGCTATAATACAGGGACCAGTTGAGGTCATGCAGAGACGGTGAGCAGCGCTCTCAGCCGTCGCCGACCCGCCAGGCCGCACGCCGCACATACCCCACCTCCCTGGATCCCCCTGACCAGCAGTGAGGCATCCTCAAACGTCGCTCTTGGCATAAATCCTGCCTCTACTGATCTCCGCTAACGCGATACCCGCAAGCCGCCCACCCACTGTTTCTGCTCGGACACCCGAACCCACAGCGCGGGAATAGTACAACACTCGAACGCACCAAACAGAACCAGGCCCACAGAGGACCGTGACCTCTCATCTTTCCAGCTCCCCGCCAGCCTATCGCTTTCAGGCTTCCGACCCGCAGACCCAACCCCGGAAGTTAGAACTGACCATTGCGCCGCTGGCCTCCAGAACTTCCGGTCTGTAAGCTGGGGGAAGGGTTCTGCCTGATACGACCCAGAGCCCTCCACTTCCGGTGTGTAGCGTGGGGCGGGTTCCGCCCAGCCTGACCCTACCCAGCGCCCTCTGGCGCCCGACTCTGCGTCAACACGTCTCTGGGTCGCCGGCTAGCAATCGCTTCCGGCTAGAGGGACCGCTGCCTCCGCCCCAGCTCTCCAGCGGCACGTCAGTTCCGGACAACGAAACAAAACCTACATCCTTCCGCAATCCCCCATAGTGCTCTCTGCGCGCGCGTGGCGTTCTGCAGTATTTTTGTTGTTGCCACTCTCCACAAGGCCGGTACGTCTGCGGAAGTGACGCGATGCAGCGGCGAAGGGACTTGGAGCTCTGTGACTTATGATGGGGGCCAAATGAGACTCGCAGGGCTTCTTGAGTCCTCAGAAACTGCGCTGTTCCTGAACATACTGCTCCTGCGGCCTTACCCCTTTAACTTGACAGCCACTTCTCGCCCCCCCCACACCCCCAAACTCGTGAGAAGTCCTAATTCCTACCTACATGGACCGTTCCTAAAGAAAACAAGCTCCGATAGTGTCCCTTGTTGGGGGAGGGGGGGACATGTTCACATTAATTTTTGTGTTTTGTTTTTCCAGACAGGGTTTCTCTTGCTGGAACTTGCTTTGTAGACCAGGCTGGCCTCAAACGCTTGTTTGCTCACAGGTTAATTTTTACCCCAAAACCTAAAACACCCTCTGTGGAATATGGGTGCTGCTTCCCACAGCAAGAGCCTAGCATTCCATATTATACCTCTCAAACCCAGAAAGGTCTGCCAGCCCTGACAGGCAGGAGCACCTGCTTTAGAAAAGGTCTGTGAAAGATTCTGGATCTTCTTCACTTAAGGAACTGCTTTATGGCCTTGCATGAGGGATTTCTGGGGAATCTCAGCAAGGAGTGGCCAAGTATGTCATACCCAGGCACTAACCTAGCTAACAGAGGTAGGAACATAAACCAATAGTCCCACCACTGTAACCGAGATCACAAGGTGGTGTGGTATATACGCTGATTTCCAGAGGTTCTAATGGTGTTTCAAGAGAGGAGGCACATTGCTCATATGCACAGGTCGCAGCACACATGGAGAGGTCAGAGGATAACTTTGTAGAGCCAGTTCTCTTCTTCCATCTTTGTGTGGACACCAGGGATCTGATTCAGGTTATCAAGCTTGTGTGGCAAGCACTTTACTAACCCACTGAGCCATATATTGCACTAACCCAAACAGGAAGATTTATGCACATTAGAGTCTCTAAATTCAGTTCATAGCCACAGAGGGACAAAATGATGCCCTCAAGACTCGTCTTCCCCTTAGTGCTTGCTGTTATTTGATGATTTGATTCCCCCCCCCCGCATTTTATATAATTAGATGAAAACAGAAGACCTAACCAAGGATCCAAGGAGATGAATAAATCCATCAGAGAGGTGATAGTGTTGAGAACAATTCAGATATGAACCAATAGGAGGAAGGGCAAGTGGAAACCCCATCTGTCTTCATCTGTCTTAGAAACAGATCAATCAGAGCATCCTCCTTCCCAATCCCTACCTAGTTTCTAGTCTTCAGGGAGGTGAGAAAAGCCAAGCCCTACACCTCAACAGGCTCCAGGTTAAAACAGAAGGGGTCCAACCACAGTGAAACATGGGTTCATATCTGTGACACTGACATTGTGCTGCTGGTATGAGCCAACCTTGCCAAGGCAGAATTGGAACTACAAAGCTCAATTCTTCATAAAACCTGATGAAAAAGCACTGGTGGGGTTGAATGGATAGCTCAGCAGTTAAGAGCACTTCATTCTCACATAGGATTTTAGTTTGTTGCCAACACCCCAATCAGGTAGTTCACGGTGTGCCTTCAATGCCCAGTACTCAGCAAACAGAGGAAGGCATCTCTAAGTTCCAGGTAAGCCAGGTCTACAAAGCAAGACCCTGTCTAAAAGAAAAAAGAGAAAACACTGGTAGAAGATTTACAGGGAGGGTGTGTGTGTTTTCTTTAGAGAGAGGAAAATTTAAGAGTGTGAGTGGCCAAAGTCAGGGCCACATTGGGGCCTGCCTGTATTACACAGCACTTGTAGTGGGCCACAGAAGTCAGGAGGTGGTGGCACACACCTTTAATCCCAGCACTTTCGAGGCAATCGGATCTGTTAGTTTGAGGTTAGCCTGGTCTACAGAGTCAGTTCCAGAACAGCAAAGGCTACACAGAGAAACCCTGTCTCAAAACACACACACACACACACACACACACACACAGTCAAAAAACAAAAAGCCCAATACTAGCAGGCTTGTACCAGTGAAGGTACCTACCTGCCTTACATAAGCTCAATATCGGAGTGCCAGAGCCAGCGCATGTTTGTTTTTTTTTTGGGGGGGGGGGAGGGGTTCAAGTCCAGACAGGGTTTATTTGTGTAGTCTTGGTTGTCCTTGAACTAGCTCTGTAGACCAGGATGGCTTTGAATTCAGATATGCCTGCCTTGGCCTCCCAAGTGTATCACCAATGCTGGGTACCAGCACATGTCTCATCCTAGCACAACTAGTTGTGAAGCTTGTTGAACATTGTCTATGTTTAAAGTTTTTGGTTTTTTTTTTTTTCCCGAAACAGGGTTTCTCTGTGGCTTTGGAGGCTGTCCTGGAACTCGCTTTGTAGACCAGGCTGGCCTCGAACTCACAGAGATCCGCCTGCCTCTGCCTCCCGAGTGCTGGGATTAAAGGCGTGCACCACCAACGCCCGGCAAGGTTTTTTTTTTTTGGTGGTTTTTTTTGTTTGTTTTTTGAGACAGGATTTCTGTATAGCCCTGGCTGTCCTGGAACTTACTTTGTAGACCAGTGTGAAATTTTATTATTTTTAAATTTACTAAATGTATTTATTCATTGTATGTGTTTTGCCTGCATGTATGTATATGCAGTATGTTCAAGTTTAGTATGGATGGAGACCTGAAAGACATCAAATCCCCTAGAATGAGAGTCACAGGTGGTTGTGAGCCTCCCAGTGTGGGTGCTGTGAACAAACCTGGGTCCTTTGGAAGAGGGATGCCAAGCCATCTCTCCAGCCCTTATTTTATGATAAGGTTTCAAGTAACTCAATCTGCCTCAAACTCAATGTATAACTTAGGATGATCTTTGTTTTTGTTTTTTTGTTTTGGTTTTTTGAGACAGGGTTTCTCTGTAGCTTTGGAGGCTGTCCTGGAACTCACTTTGTAGACCAGGCTGGCCTTGAACTCACAGAGATCCGCCTGCCTCTGCCTCCCGAGTGCTGGGATTAAAGGCGTGCACCACCAGGGCTTTGTACATGCTAAGCAACTCTACTTTTTAGTTATTTGAAAATGGTTTTTCTATGAACTGCCCTGGAACTCACTAAAGAGACCAGGTTGGCCTGGAACAAGAACCACGGCCTTAGAGGGAGGTAAGGGTTGATCATACCACCCGTAGACAGGAGCTTTTTCTTTTCTCTTGCCATAAATACCTTGCTAATCCTGTATTGGTCTCTAATGGTCAATATGACCTGGGAGCCACTTCAGTAGAGTTGACCCACCTGCTACTTCTGTGTGTAGAGACAGGGAACCAAGAGGCTGGCCTGAGCAGATTTGACTAGCCCCTGCAATGCTACTCAGACAAAGTATATACAGGCTACCTGGAGGCACTGATGCTCTGGTTACTGAGGGAGAAGTAGGGTACAGGGAACAGGCCCATACTTGTCTCTAGGAGCTAGTCTAAGAAGTGACTCCTGGCAAAAGAGCCAGTACATTTTGATAGGCAATATTCATCCAAAGAATAGGCCTGCTTGGGCTGGAGAGATGGCTCAGTGGTTAAGAGCACTGGCTGCTCTTCCAGAGGTCCTGAGTTCAATTCTCAGCAACTACATGGTGGCTGATAACCCATCTATAATGAGATCTGTTGCCGTCTTCTGGCCTGCAGGCAGAACACTGTATACACAATAAATTAATAAATTAAAAAAAGAAAATAGGTCTGCTCATCTTACCTGTCCCACAGTCCACATGGGTTCAGAACTGAACCCAGAAGCCCTATCCTTGGCTGTCCCTGAACCTAAACACAAACCGTAAGTTATAAACCAATGGTCCTTAGTCTGAAGCCCTTCAGCTATATACTGATGTCATTATCTTCCCTCCTGTTGCACTCAAGAAAACAGCCTTTCATCTCTAAGGGCAGATGGTTTTAGGAAGGCACGGAGCTAAATACAAAATCCAACACTTTAATGAGAACTGGGAGCAAAAGATCAGGGAATATACAGCTCATATTTCCCTCCCTCTAAGGTTGTACACAGTTGCACACAAACACTCCCATCACACCTGAGTCCCACAGCCAAGCCCCAGGCATGCACGTAAGAAAAGAAGCATCACAGTCCACAAAGTCTTACATCCCAAGTGTCCTGAGAATTGTGTTTATTCAACCTCGTAAAATTTCTCTAGAGCTGGTGGCCTGCACTCAGCATTGCACAGATAAAAATATATGACTTTCAACACAGACCTAAATACCTTCACATTTTAAAAATCAGAATTCTCTATACAAGTGTTAAGCTAACAGAATTCAAAGTCCGAGTTTTCATATATAGCTTTCACTTGTATTAAGCACATGTTTATTTACAACGTGAATAGAGAATAAGGGGGCTATTAAGGCCATTTTCTCATTGTGAAACACAGGAAAATATGTACACAAGTACAACCTAATATAGGCAAACATTTAAAAAATCATCTTTCTTGGCTTAACGTAATTGAATCAGTTTAGGAGTGAAGACACAGCTTATCAATAGCACCAAGCCACACCAATGGGGATGCGTGCCTTTGCTGTTCCATCCAGCTACCCGAAGGTCTGCAGTTGAGGTGGACCTTCAACTGGGACAGATGTGCAGCACTCCGCAGGCCAGCCTGAAGGGCACCTTGTTCACTGTCCCATCAGTTAAACTCACCTCAAGGTCCAATTGAAAACACTTCCAAAAAACATCACGCTACAAGGCCACTGAAGCCAAGGTGTGCCCAACAGGGAGGGACCAAGGGCAGCCACCAGGGAACCCATCTCACCTCCGATGTCTGCTGTGTCCAGGATGGTCCCGCTCATAGCGATGGCCTGTGCGCTCATATGACCTTGAGCGCTCCCGTCTTTGATCTCTATAGTAATGACTTTTCTTCTTGTATTTTCCAGAATTGTCTGTCCGCTCTCGTGACCGGCTTCGAGAACGAGAGGAGCTCCGGCTACGAGATTTGTGTGGCTTCTGGGTGAGGTACTTGCAGTCTTTTGATTTCCGGGAGGTCCGTACTTCTGAACCTTTATAGGGAGCACCACGGTGTACCTGCCTTGGAGGAGAGTCACTGCGGCTCCGAGAACGACTCTGTGACTTGGACCCACCTGAGGTAGAGCCACTCTCACTCTTCCTGTGAAGAGAAAAACACACGTGTGACCACAATGTGGCCACCTGTCCTAGCCAAGCCCTGACAAAGCAGAAGGGCTGGCAAAGGGGCTGGTTTTATTTTGTTTCATTTTTCAGAGAAAAGGTGTAGCCCTGGCTATCCTGGACCTCATGCTGTAGACCAGGCTGGCCTCAAACTCAGATATCTGCCTGCCTCTTCCTCCCAAGTGGGGATTAAAAGTTTGAACCACCACCACTTGGCTGCAAAGGAACTCAAATTCAGAGAAAGAAGAATCACACTAGGAGTGGTGGTACACACCATTAATCCAAGCACTTGGGAGGCAGTCTGCTTTGCAGAGTGAGTTCCAGTACAACCAGGGTTACAAAGAAAAGAAAACCTGTCTCAAAATAAAAAGGAGCCAATGTCCGCACTATTGCAAGAGACATCTATGTGCCCTCCTACTACTCAAAGAAAACACCAGGTTAAGACTCTCATGGGTAGCCCGGTGGTGGTGGCACATGCCTTTAATACTAGCACTCAGAAGGCAGAGGCAGGCTGATCTCTGTGAGTTCGAGGCCAGCTTAGTCTACAGAGCAAGTTCCTGGACAACTTCGAAAAACCAAAACCAAAACCAAAAAAAAAAAAGTCTCATGGGTAAGCTCGACACACACCTCCTCTTTGGAGAAGCAGACCGTGATGGGGATCTTGAGTAGCTCTGTTCACGGCTCCTGCTTTGACTTCGGCTCTCATGCCCTTTTGGCAAGCTGCAAATAGGAGCATAGCAGTTACAGGCCTGTACTATCCTTAGCCTCCAGTGTCTATTTAGGCAGGTATAAGCAGCTTACCCATTCACAGGGCTATCTGTCTTGGCTTTCTTTGGGCCCTCCACTTTCCGTTTGGCATTCTTTACAGAGAGTGGGGAAGACTTGTTTCCTTTACCTTCTTTGGGAGATTCTACTGAATAAAACAGGAAGGAAATTAAAAACCATAATCGGATTTTTTTCAATAACAAATACACTAGCAAAGCAAGACAAGACTATCTTGGAACCCAGATTGAAAATACACATAAGGGCTGGAGAGATGGCTCAGAGGTTAAGAGCACTGACTGCTCTTCCAGAGGTCCTGAGTTCGATTCCCAGCAACCACGTGGTGGCTCACAACCATCTGTAATGAGATCTGGTGCCCTCTGCTGGCACGCAAGTGTACATGTGGGAGGAATACTGTATACATAATGAATAAATCTTAAAAAAAAAAAAAAAAAGAAAATACACATAAGACACAGACTGGGCCGGGCGTTGGTGGCGCACGCCTTTAATCCCAGCACTCGGGAGGCTGAGGCAGGCGGATCTCTGTGAGTTCGAGGCCAGCCTGGTCTACAGAGCGAGTTCCAGGACAGCCTCCAAAGCCACAGAGAAACCCTGTCTCGAAAAACCAAAAAAAAAAAAAAAAAAGACACAGACAGGCCTTTTGATCAGACCTAGTTTGCCCAAGGACTAGAGAATGAGCTTCATATTCTATACTCTAATCATAGACTCCAAACTTAAAAATTTAGCTGGGTAGGGGTGGTGCAACACTTTAATCCCAGCACTTGAGAAACAGATCTCTGTGAGTTAGAGGGTAATCTGGTCCAAAAAGTTAGTTTGTTATACAGAGAAACCCTGTCTCAAAAACCAAAAACAGACAAAAAAAGCAGACAACAAGCCAACTTGGTAGATATAATTAAACAAACAAACAAAAAAACAGCACTTTAGAAATGCTGTCCCTATTTCTTAATATGAAAACAAATTCTTGGGGCCTCCTTGACTTATTTTAAGGATCACCAACAGATTGCTAGGGATTCCAGTACCAGAGTAATGTTGAAATAAGCTGCAGGCTTAACTCCAAGAGAGATATGTTAGGCATAAGCACATATCCCTAAACTAAGGTTACGAACTGTTCCCTTGTGAGGAATAAACTGTGAACACTCACCCAGCTTGGGAGCAGGTGAGAATCCGGCAGCACTGTCCAGAACGGGAGCACTACCTGGTAGCAGCCCTCTAGCTCGAGCCTTGGCCTCGTCGATGGCATGCTTTCTCTTTTCCACCTCACTTTCTAGGTGTGTCAAATCAACCTGAAAAGCCAGAATCATTCATTCAGAACCAAATGCTTCTGGCCACATACAAGCATATAATCCACACAAAAACACACAGAGGAACCTTTTTCCGCGTATAAAGCTGCAGGATTTTCAAGCAAATTTCTTGAATTTCTTCTTCAGTTGCTCCAAACAAAAGAAACCAATGCGGACGATTGGGTAAAGGGATCTGCAAACAGATGTTATCATGTCACTTTCCTTAGAACTCCAAGACCAGGTATGGTGGTGCACACCTTTAATCCAAGCACTCAGGAAGAGGCTGGATCTGAGTTTGTGGACAGCCCTATCTCAAAAAAAAAAAAACACCACCACTACCACCATCACTAACAAAACACTTCAAGGCCAACAAAATTCTTGGGGCAACACCTGAAAACGGCCTGCCAACTACCAAAAAACCCTGTTGTAAATGAACCTAGTTTGACAAATATACTGTCATTTACTAGAGGTTAGAGAAAGGTCTAGAGTCTAGATTAAAATCTAGGCAACCACATACTTACCTCCAGTGTCCGGGCAGCGAGGTAGATACAGGCACAAGCAATGCTCTCAGGCTGGAACCGCACAAAGACATCTGTGCGAAGGCTGTCATTCATGTAGTTCCTGAAAACAAAACCAGGAAGATTGTAATGCTGTGGACAACTATGCCTCTATCTGTCATCAAAGGCTGTTATTCCTATAGGTTCTACACTAGGACTGAACTGGGTATTCTGGGAATCTCCAGAGATACCAGGGGATGTTCTGAATACATGAAAGAAAGAAATCACTGGGGAAAAAAGCTGGCTGAATGTCAAACAATATGTGTTGCTATGAACGAGAACCGACTTTAACTTTACTTTTCCTTCTATATCTGGCCTGCTATCATGCAAAGCACAATGCTTAGAAAGAAAATGCTACTTAGTAGTTAAAATGTAGTTGATTAAAGAAATCTAAATGTTCAAAATCCATAGTGCAGAGAAACATGCAAACTCAAATGAGCAGGCTGAGCATGAAGACTCGAGACTGTAAGACAAGCTGTCCTGTGTCCTTTTCTTCAGGCAGCAATTGGGCCCGGTCTTTCGGTCTTTCTCCAGATGACTGAGCCGCAGCTCCAGTGAGGAAGTCCACTTGGAAAAGGGAAAGGCCCTTGGGTGCAGTTCAGATGCATGGACACATCATGCAGAGGAGGTCAACACCCAAGGGAATCCTCTTCTCGAGTTTATCAAAGAACGTTTCCAAACTGTCCCATTTCAACAAGGAGTCTTAAAATGAACATTCATAAAAATCAGACAAAAGTAACGAAACACTAAAAGTGGCAACAAACTAAGTACACTTTAAAATGCTATAATACTTTAGAAGATATACGTTAAGTACAAAACTTGACATTTTTAGAAAAGTTAAACGTCTTTAAAATTTGCTACATCTTTAACATTTTCTTTATATATTTCTTTAAAATTTATAGACTAAAACCAATTGGTATACTAGCTTTATCAACATTGCAAAAACAATTCTTGAGAAAACATATGAAGAGGTTATATTATATACTGCCCAACATATCCAATAATGGTACAGCACACCCTATCAGTGTGAACTTCATGAGATTTAATTGCCCCCACCCAGTATCTTTGCCCTAAAACTTTAAAGGCAACATTGAAACACACTCTAATGTTCTAAACAGCAAATTCTATAGATGACTATAAGAGGCAGTTGGCACTGGAAGCATTAACTCTACACATCAGAAGGGAAGCCAGAATAGTAGCTGCACTATCCATCTCTCAGGAGCCATTCTGTGGCTAAACATCATAAACATTCACAGATATAACCACCAATAACTTAATTACTAATAAGGGATTTTTAGTATTCAAATATATTAACCCATTAATTTTAAGTTCTAAAAACAAGTGAAATCCTTTAAAGATGTATATAAACTTAATGCTACATTTGAAACAAAATACAATAGTTTAACTTAAAGATGCACACCTTTACTGGCATGAGTCCCACTTAAGCTGCTGAAAAGAGCAACTGTAGGACTTGGGAGAAATAATGACAAGATCCAGTAACAGCCTGAATTTCTACCGTGCCAATTTGTCACTTCAGTTCTGACAACTTTCTATACATTTTTTTTTTAACAAGAAAGGTATTGCATCTTTATTGCACAGGTACAGCAGTTTTAAAAGAACAAAATTTAAGTCAAGACAGTTATCAACTCTAATTGATACAATTACCAAGCAGGACAGGATTAACAAGAAGCACAATCGTCAGAGAACCACAAGCAGCAGTCGGCCATGACTATACTATCAGGTACGCATACCACCAGTCTAGAGCCAGCCTTCGGTGGAGAGCCTGCACTGGATTGGCTGAAGACGGCCGCTGTCCCTGCACCAAAGCGCTTGGACAGCAGAGGAGAAGTCTTAGTCACTTACCCTCTGAGGCTACCCTTTGATTGAAAGAGTACAGAAAAGAAAAGTCAAAATAGGTTCTCTATAAAACATGTCATAGCACCAGACAATTCAGTCAGCAATATGACCCTTACAGACTTAACTCTGGGGGGGGATTGTACCCCAACACCAAATTGTTACTTCAGTCTTCCTTCTAGCATATGCCTGCTAAAACCAACCCAGGACTGCAGAGCTCCTTCCCTTCCCTCAATTCCCTGTAAACAATACCACTAATTCTGTGGTTGGGACTATCACCTATAACATTCCTACACCCAGCTGACAAACCCCAGAGGGAAGCCCATTGGGGTGGGAGTGTTGGAAATAAAGGGGTAGGGGTGGATGGGCCACCTACCGTTAAGCCTGTCCCTGTCATTTTGGGGGAGGCACTGGGACAATTCCAGACCATAACCAAGTCACGGGATGACAACCCACTGCCCAAGTGCCTCAAGTAATACATTCCTGAACTGCCCTTGCTGGTCTCATAAAACAAGGAAAATCAACTCACCATGCAGTCTGGACCAGGTGTTGATTACGCTCACACTCTAACACCTGAAGGTACATAACGATTATCTGGAAGATATGGGTCAGGCAGTTATTACCAAAAACTTGGAGAGCAGGGAACTCAGATCTTGGTGTCCATGCAGCAAAAGAACCTCAAGCTATACCCCAGGAAGCTCCTGGTGACGTCCGGCAGACAGCTCAACTTTTGTGATGTGCTTGCTACCTGCTTTATAGTTGGACTGAGTGAGTGCATATGTGAAGACCAAGCTGCACCCATGGCATTGAAGGCCTTGTTTTCCATGTGGCTCATTTTCATTCTCGTTGACAACACCTTTTCCACCAGTGAGATTAGCTTGCCCTACACGTCCCTGTACCCCAATAGCCAACTTGCACAAAACATGAAAATACATTAAATTAAGCACTTAAAATATTTAGTGGATAATTTATCAAGAATTTAATGTCAGAAACTCAAATAAGCAAGAGAAGATGACAAGGCCACAGAAGCAAACAAGAACTTTGTTCTGTTAAGGAAGGTTTCTCACTATGTAGTTCTGGCCTCAAACGCAGAGATCTGCCTGCCTTTGGCTATTCCAGTACTAGGATTTAAAGTGTGCACTACTGCACCCAGCTAAGCCTGAAGCTTTAAAGTTTTAGTTTAACTAAACTAGGTAAGACACTCATGAGAGAGTACAATAAACTCATGTCTAATCAGCATATTCATAGACCATTTTGGTTCATTTTGAAATAAAAGGATTCAGAATTCTTTCTGTTCTTCCACAGGATTTATTAAAGCTATTACTAACTTTTTTTTTTGGTTTTTCAAGACAAGGTTTCTCTGTATAGCTTTGAACCTATCCTGGTACTCACTCTGTAGAACAGGCTGGCCTCGAACTCACAGAGATCTGCCTGCCTCTACCTCCCAAGTGCTGGTATTAATAAAGGTCTACACCACCAATGCCCGGCTCTACTAAAATAACTTTTAAAATGTTGTAATTTAAGAAAAGCAGTGCTTGAGAGAAAGATGTCATGCGACAGGGTTCAAGCAGAGGAATTTTTTATTAGAGAAAGGATCTTAAAAAGAGGAGCAGCAGGAGAGAGGAGAAAGGAAGGGGGGGAATAGAAAGAGAGGAGAGAGAGGATGGGAGTTGGGCAGGGCCCTTTTAAAAGGGAGCACAGTGAATATGCACAGGTAGTGCTCTTAGTGGCTGCAGCTGAGGGCGTATCCTGTCCAAACCCCAAGGGTAGGCTGTACTACTAACAATGTAGCCTGAATACTAACAATAAGGACTAAGGAGAAAGCTCAGTCAGTAAAGTACTTGCCTCACAATCCCTAGAATGGGAGCCAACTTTTGAGTAGTATATACGGAAAGGGTCCCTGGGACTCACTGGCCAGCCAGTCTAACCTCATTGGTAAGGTCCAGGTCAATGAGATCACCTGTCCCAGGAGGAAATATTACTGGCAATTTTCTCTGGTTTCCAAATGTAACTGCACACACATGCACTTAAAAAAAATAATTACTGTTAAGAAAATATAGGCAGGACTGGTTAAGAGCACTTGACTGCTCTTCCAGAGATTCTGAGTTTAATTCCCAGCAACCACATAGTGGCTCACAACCATCTGTAATGGGCTCAGAGTCCCTCTACTGGTATGAATGAAGACAAAGCACTCACACATAAACTGTATGAATAAATAAATCTTGAAAGAAAAAAAATGTAGGCTAAAAAATGTTCCCTAATTATTCTGTGTACACAATGTTGTTGTAAAAACAGATGTAAACCCAAGAACCTGGATTTAATGCCCAGTCTCCACTTGGTAGAAGTAGAAGGAGGCAACTGACTACATCAGTCCCCTGTACAAAATGAAAAACCATGGTCCCTAGTTAAGAATCATGCCCCTAGACCTTATTCCAGACTGCCTGTTCTTTTTCACAGAAGCCCTGTAGTTTTTGTTTTGGTCTGCTTTTTTCTGAACTAGAGTATTTTTGTTTTGTTTTTGTTTTTCGAGACAGGGTTTCTCTGTATTGTTTTGGAGGCTATCCTGGAACTTGCTCTATAGACCAGGCTGGCCTCGAACTCACAAAGATCTGCTGCCTGCCTCTGCCTCCCGAGTGCTGGGATTAAAGGCGTGCGCCACCAATGCCCAGATGAACTAGATTACTATGTAGACTTAAATGGTGTGGTCTATAGATCAGGCTGGCCTTTCTCATATAATGAGCATAAATGTAAAAGTCAGAGAAAAACTTTGTAGAATACGTGTTTCTCTCCTTCTACTGTTACATGTTCCAAAGACAGAAATAAGACTGACAATCTGGTATACCAAATGCCTTTACCTGCCAAGCCATCTTACCAGCCCTGGTCTTTTTTTTTTTTTTTTTTTTTTTTGGTTGTTTTGAGACAGGGTTTCTCTGTAATCAACTGGCTCTGTAGATCAGGCTGGCCTCGAACTTAACGGGGACCCACCTGCCTCTGCCAACCAAGTGCTGGGATCAAAGGTGTGAGTCACCAACACCTGGTGGCCCTGTTTTTATCACTATTTTTTGGTCTTTTTGAGACAGAGTCCCACTATGTAGCCTTGTCTAACCTGAAACTCACTCTGTAGACCTAGATGGCCTTGAACTCAAGAGACCTGACTGCCTCTGCCTCATAAGTGCAAGGATTAAAGGTGTATGCCACCACACCATGCTAAGCCCTGCTTATTTCTGAGATAAGGTCTCATGCTTATGAGGCTGGCCTCCTACTTGAAATGTAGCTAAAGATGTCTTTGAACTCCTGTTTGCCACCAAACCAGGCAAGAAACTAACTTTAACATGGCTTTTAAAGACAAGGTCTAAAAGACATCATTTCAAAAACTCATATTATTAAAACTAACAGATTCTAGACATAAACAAGAAAACCAAATGTAGGGAACATTCAATACTCTTAAAGGCTTTCAATTCAGCACACACTGGAAGTCAACTTAAGTATGGCTGCAGGTGCCAAGCCAAACTCACCTTATGAGGGTGCTTTACATGAACACAAAAGCCCAGCTCCTTGAGAACTCGTCTCTCTGCCTTTATAATCTGGTTCTTTAAATTAACATACTCTTGATCCAGCACTAGAGGCACAGGTTTCCTGCAAAGACAAAGCATTTGGTCTGTATCAGGATCAATCAAGCAAAGTCTTTCATGTTCCACCAATCAATAAATACTACAGGACCAGAAGCTACAAATTTCACTTCCTTTAACAAAATTGCAAAACAGTCCTCAAAACTCAATTCTAACCTAGGTATACTTTATTACTAACCTGCCCCCTTGTCACTACACATTAGCAGTATCCTAGCATATCAAAACACCTCTTGAATATAGTGAAGGGTCTCAGGATCTCTGTACAAGTCAGATTCAAGACAAAAACATCAACTTTTCTGGTTGAATGGGAAACTACAAAACCAATAAAGCACAATAAAGTCAATCCTTAGTATACACTAGAGCTGTCAAGTTCCATAACAACTTTCACCAAATACTAGTATCTATGATTGTGCAAGTTTCTCATACAAAATGCTGGAATATCCCCCATAGCACTTGCATACAGCCTCCATACATTCTTGTATTTAGGAACTTTATGATGCCTCGTACAATGTAAATGCTATACACATATAGTCATGGTACTGTTTGTTTAAGGAATAGTGACAAGAAAGTTCAGCACACCAATTCCACTTGCTGCAACCCAATATTTTCAATACAAGGTTGATTGAACTCTTGAATAAGAAAGCTACAAATATAGATGACAGACCATTGAAAAGGAGACCAGGTTGGGTTTTTTTGTTTCTGTTTTGCTTTTTGTTTTGAGAAAAGGTTCCTCTATATTGCTTTAGAGGTTGTCCTGGTACTCCCTCTTTAGACCAGGCTGGCCTTGAACTCAGAGATCAGCTTGCTTCTGCTTCTGGAGTATTGGGATTAAAGGCATACACCACCAACGCCTGGCTAGGTGACCAGGTTGTAGCCTGGCATGGTGACACATGCCTTTTGATTGCCTAGTCTACAGAGAAACCCTGTCTCAAAAAGCCAAACCAAATTAGAGTGAGAGAGAATCAGGTTGTGTTTGAAAGGATTTCTGTTAACAGAAATAAGGTCTAGGGGCATGGTCCTTAACTAGGGACCATGTTTTTTGTTTTTTTCCACTTTGTACAGGAGACTGTCAGCTGCCTCCTTCTACTTCTACCAAGTGGAAACTGGGCATCAAATCCAGGCCCTCAGACTTGATAACAGGCTCTTTTACCCATTAAACTATCTCATCAACCCTGTGTGCGTATTCTTTAAAAGTTGTATTTCATTTGTTTGGTTTGTGGGTTATACCTGTGGAGGACAAAGGACAACATGTGGGAGTCATTCTCTCCTACCATGTTGGTCCCAGAATTGAATTCAGGTTGTCAGGCGTGGTGAAGTACCCTTACCTATTGAGCCACCTCACTGCTGCTCTTGGGCTTTACCTATTGTTGACACAGGATCTTCTTATGTTTTGTGTTCTTTTGTGACAGGGTTTTATGTATTCCAGAATGGCTTCAAATTCATTAGATAGCTGAGGATGGATGGATGCCCTTGAACTCCTGATCCTCCTATATCCATCTCTCAATCCAACCAAGATTAAGCTCATGTCTCCACTTCAGACTTGCTCCAAGGAAGGGTTGGTTTTGTTTTTCTTGTTGTTTTGCTAAACAGAGTTTCTCTGTGTAGTCCAAGCTGTCTTGCAACTAACTCTGTAGATCAGGCTGACTTCAAACTAGAGACCCTTCTGCCTCTGCCTCCTGAGTGCTAGGTAGGCTTGTGCCACCATGCTCAGCTCTCCATTAGTGTTTTGAAAAGCAGTGTTTGGAGATGAGCATGTTCACAGATGTAATCAGAACATAAGGGGATATTGAGATGGGGCTCCTGGAGGTTAAGACCAGCGTTACCTACATTTCAGGACAGTTACGGGTACAACAAAAAAAGACATTGTCTAGGGCTACCTCCGATGTAATAAAGGAAGGACACAAATAGTTTCTGGCAAGGAGAGGCCAGGAATGCCGGTCAACAGAATACAACGCTGGGAAAACCACCTTAACAGAGAATCACCAGCTCAGACAGTAACAGTGCTGAAAGTGAGGACCACTGGTCTGGGGTGTGATGGCTCTAAGTAGAACCATGGAGAAAACAGGACAATGGTGTCGTGAGCTGATGTGGTCACACAGGAATCATTCCAGAAGGGCTACAACAGCCAGCTACCCTGCTTATTGTGCTCCCTTTCCACTGCCCTCAGACAGCATCCAGGGCACTCATGAACAAACTCCTGTCAAACCCACAGGCTGGTATAACAATGACAGACATTTGACAGCTCTCAGGAGGACTCACTTTTTCTCTCTTAGATGCCGAAGTCGGTGGAATACATTGATGACATCCCTGATTCGTCTTGGAGCTTCTTCTATTTTGGAAGCCAGGTGAACACAAGCCATGGACACATGCTGAAATGCACATTGGGATACAGGTGTTTTTCCCCAACCTGAAGACTTCCCAGGGCGTTAAAAACTACTAGGAGCAAACAGAAGGTACAGAGACAGGCCTCCAGGGAGAGAACGGTACAGACTTTGGAGGACAGAACTCCGTTCACTAAGCAGGGGGCAAAACAAGCCAGGTTTCCTCCTAAACCATTTGTCTGATAAAACAGAAAGAAGCCTACCTCCATGGAATGTTTCACGAAGGACTTGGTGTAAAAGAACCGCTGGAACAACACCTGCCCTGTAGCCATGGCCACCTAGGGACGGAGAAGATTCCATCACTTGTGAACGCAGAACTCAAACCTGTCCCGGCTGAAATGTCATGTGTAGTCCCGCCAGGACAAATACCCACCACAGTTCCCATTTCCCCCAAAAGATTTCTGTATTGCGAGGCTGTCCCGGGGTTTGTAATAAAGGGCCTTCGCCCGAGGGGGTGGGGGAAGGGAAGTTCGGGAGCGGGCCCCACTCCAAGCCGGTCAGCGGTAGGCTCTGAAGCACGGACTCAGGAGGATGTCAAGGCTGGGGTGCGGGCCGGGTTCTGACCTCGGCCAGGGTCTAGGCCCGGTTGGTTCCGGGAAGTGGGCCAGGCCAACAACAAAGGCCTACCTCTCTCGGCCGACCGGCGGACGGTTACCTACAAAGCTCGTGGCCGCGCCCTTACCTGCGGCAGGCGGAGCAGGATGCCGGCTGCCTGGATGAGCTCGCAGCCCACCACGCGGAGGCCAGTCTCTGTGTCGACGTCGAGACCGCTCGACATGGACGGCGTGAAGCGCAGCTTGTCGTCGGGCAGCAAGCAGTTCTCCAAGGTGATGAGCACGCCTGAATACAGCCTGTCACCGATCAGCACCCCCTGAGACCCTGGGGCGGCTCCCCCGGAGCCGGAAGAGCCGGCCGCCAAGGCGGGAGCCGCCAACACCGAAGCCCCGGCCGCCGCCGCCGCCATTTTGTGCCGCCGATTCTTTCTCGGGCCCTTTCCCGGAGGGCGGCTCCTCGCGACGACCACGGCCGCCCTGCCCCGCCCCGCCCCCGCCCATTGGCTTCACGTCACCGCCGCCTCTACCCCATTGGCCGTGCGACCTGTTCTTCTGTATCGCGTCAGCCGCTGACGCCGGAAGTGGGCACGGGTGGGGCCGCTCGTTACCCATTCGACTCCGCGGCCTGGCCAGAATCGGAAGCGGTCAGTCCAGAAGAGAGAGAAGTGCTCCTGCCTCGGAATCGGGCTCTGGAAGGGGTTCTTTCCTTGGGTATTGGGACAGGACGACTTCTTCCCCACAGTCTCACGCGCACAGCATTACATTGCTATTTAGTCCAGGAACTTTCGTCTCAACCCTTCCTGCTGTCCTCTGGCTCTGCTACAGCTGTGGGGTGGATCTATCAGCATTGAAAGTACAGGTTAGGGAACTGGAGGGATGGCTCAGCGGTTTGGAGTACTGGCTGCCCTTCCAGAAGTCCATAGTTCTGTTCCCAGCAACCACATAGTGGTTTACAACCATCTACAATGGGATTTTATTTCCTCTTCTGTCATGCAAGCATATAGTGCAAACAGAGCACTCATATACATACGTAAATAAATATTTTTTATGCACAGATTAAACAGAACTGTAAGGGCCGGGAGGTGATGGCACACGCCTTTAATCCCAGCACTCGGGAGGCAGAGAGGCAAGCGGATCTCTGTGAGTTCGAGAACAGCTTGGTCTACAAAAGCTAGTTCCAGGACAGCCTCCAAAGCCACAGAGAAACCCTGTCTGGAAAAACCAAAAATAAAAATAATAAAAACTAAAAAAAAAAATTAAAAAAGAAAACTGCAAATGTCAGATTTCATCACTCTCAATTTCTTGTGGAAGGTACAGACCAAGAATGGCAGATTTTGAAGGCCGATAAGAAAAGTCTTGGAGTTAACCCTACAGGCAGTATTTATCCCTGGCTCCATTCCTGACCTTCCTAGTTTCACCCAAAACAATGCAGGAGATGGAGTTAACTACCTGTCACTGCTCAGTTATCTCAAGCTTTCACCAAGACTACAGCTTGAGTGAGGGGAGAAGTTGTTCCTGCATAGGTTCGATTCAGGTATTTTGAGCATCGAACAAGGCTGCCAATAGCAGTCCATAGCCCAGCTATAGTGAGTTGATTTGATTCCATTGCCTAAGTAGATCTAACCAAGACCATATCTCTACTCTTGTTAGCCATATTGTTGAAGCCCACCCATCTCTATCTCTGGACTGCAACTCCAAAGTGGGCACAACGGTCTAAGGCTTGTCACTGCCTGGCTCCTTGCTCATTTCCCTGAACTACAGCTGCCCAAAGAATTGGAAGTGACTGCCGGCTATAGTTACTCAAACTAGACTGTGGTACTGGAGATGAATGTTAACACCAACAGGAAGAGGAACCTAGGCTGGATGGGGATGCTGTGTACAACTCACAGTGGCTTGCAGCATCTCGTCTTTTTTTTTTTTTTTTTTTTTGGTTTTTTTTTTCGAGACAGAGTTTCTCTGTATTGCTTTGGAGGCTGTCCTGGAACTCACTCTGTAGACCAGGCTGGCCTCGAACTCACAGAAATCCACCTGCCTCTGCCTCCCAAGTGCTGGGATTAAAGGCGTGCGCCCCCAACGCCCGGCCATCTCTTGTCTTTATTAAGTACAAAACAAAGTCTGTATCTTCCACCCCTTCTGGTCAATAACCATTAGCAAATGAGTAATATGTATTGAACACACAAAGTGGTGACACAAATACTCAGTGCAGTGACCTTTAGACTGATGACAAAAAAAAAAACCACCTAAGGGGCCTTGTAGGAATCTTCAGTAATGGAAGCCAAAATTAAACTGACCTACAATGATGTTAGAGAACAGAGGACAGATCCACGTATTTTTTATATAGATTTTATTTCATGTGCATTGGTGTTTGTCTGCATTCATGCCAGTATGAGGGTGCTGAATACCCTGGAACTTTAATACAGACAGTTGTAAACTGCCAGGTGGGTGTTGAGAATTGAATCAGGGTTCTCTGGAAGAGCAGTCAGTGCTCTTAACCACTGAGCCATCTCTTCAGCCCCCAATCCAAGTGATCTGTAAGAACTGGGAATATAGCTGAGCTGATAGAATGCTTGCCCAGCATTCATGAAGCCCTGGGTTCAATACCCTGTATCCCAGGAACTAGGCGTGGTGTTGCATACCTGTTATTCCAGCACTTGGGAGGCAGAGGCAGAAGATTAGGAATTCAGTCACCCTTCCTGCTTAGTAAGTTCCAGGTTAGCCCGAGCTACATGAAACTGTCAACAACAGTTATGTTGGTGCTAGAAGTGGGCACTGAGTTCAGGGTAAGAGCTCAGAATGATTCCCAAGCACCTGGTGGCATAAGACGAAAGATGGTGTCACCAGAGTACAGTGTGGTTGTAACTGCGGGAGACAGGCACTATGGGTTCTCCTATAGCAAGGGGGTCAACAAATAAAGCTGAACTGGGCCTTTCCTCCAGAAACATGGCTGGCTCTTGTATAACAATTTCCCCCGAGGAGGAGGCTAGATTCCTGCAGGCCAGAAGAGGGCACCAGATCTCATTACAGGTGGTTGCTGGGTATTGAACTCAGGACCTCTGGAAGAGCAGTCAGTGTTCTTAACCTCTGAGCCCTCTCTAAAGCCCGACAAAGGATATTCTTAAAGGAAGTAACACATTCCATCCTTCAGGGGAAGTTCTTTAAGACACAAGTAGCCAGGCCTGGTAGCTACTTACTTAAAATCCCACCACTCAGGAGGTAGAAGCACTCAGGTGGTGGTGGCGCATGCCTTTAATCTCAGCAGAGGCCGGCAGATCTCTGTGAGTTGGAGACCAGCCTGGTCTACATTCCAGGACAGCCTCCAAAACCACAGAGAAGCCCTGTCTTGAAAAAAAAGAGGTAGAAACAGGTAGACCTCTGAGCCTGGTCTACAAAGTGAGTTCCAGGACAGCAAGGGCTATGGAGAGACCAGCTGGTCCAGGATGTCCCTGAAACTGACCAAATTCATTAGGTCTCCTTCCCAAGCATGTCATATCATCAGTTGTAAGGACTCCTGAGAGGCTATCAGATAAGCCAAGCTGCATGTAAGACACTCCCCAACTTGTGGAATTGCCTAGAAGCAGTGTAGTGCACTCAAGTTTTCATGAGCCATTACTCATGCTGTGGTGGGCTTTTTGTGTTACAGCTTTGAGTCATTTCTGCTCCCATAAGTAACCCCAATAAACTCACTGTTTCACCAATTGGACTTTAGTAGTATCTTTACTTTGGTCAGTCAACGGTTCCCTATCTGGGGTGAATACCCTTCTGTCCACATCTCAGAAATAGTGCCATACAATACTGTCACCACAAAGCAGACTAGAAAAATGGCCCATTAAGGGAAACAGGCTAGTGGCTCAACACCTGAACCACTGGGGCCATGCCATACATAAGGAAAAGCCAAAAGAGAGGTTAACATCAATCCTGTTTACAAGCAAACAGATGGGGAGTACTTAAGGCAGACCAGAAAACTAGGTGCCACTTCAGTAGCCTGGTGTAGAACCACTACTTTATAGGGAAAAACAGCATGCAGAGATGAATCCTACTACTCCCACCTAACAGCTTCTCCCATAACAGACAGTCAATGATAACAAGTATACAGGTACTTCAGAGGCTTTATACATCTAAAGGTGTGTTTGCCTGATGCCAGAAAAAACTCACAAATTGAACAATTCAAGACTTTATTTGTACAATCTTACAGGGCAGTTTTGGGGCTGTGCCACTGAGTAAAAACCTTTTCTCTCAGGCCTGTTGCTAAAGTGTAAATAAATACAATCAGACTTACTGGTGAATAGACAATCCTTTTGCTCCTATCTGGTTTATAACAGTCTCCACAGCACTGCAGCCTTCAGTGGTACTGCACCACTCTGGAAAAGATGCCCTCAGGCTCCTTTCCATCCCCCAAAGCTGCAGCAAATCCTTCTTGCTGCCTCCTCTTAGCCAAAGCTGCCAAAGATTTAAAAGTCTTTGGTTCATAGATGGCCAGGTCCACAAGTACTTTCCTGTTGAGCTCCACCTGGCACTGGGAAGACAAAGAACCACAGGCTGTAGTAAGTGTCAGAAACCACTTGAGAAAGCTGGGTGTGGTGGTGCACACCTTTAATTCCAGCACTGTGGAGGCAGAGGCAGGCTGTGCATTCCAAGCCAGCCAAAGACTATATAATGAGATCCTAGCAAAAAACAACAAATTACTTCACTAGAATACAAGAGATCCCATGTGGAAACAGACAGGAGGATGTAGCCACAAGACCGCGTAGTCAGTCTAGAGTAGCCAGCACCACTCTGCTGATGTGGAACAGTTGGGAACTGTGGGAAAGGCACAGCAGGACACTGTAGGATAAATGTGGATGGGGACAAGGAAGGGCACCAGTAGAGGCCACAACATGGCTGAGGCCAGGACCCATGGTTAGGATCAGTGGTCACTTGAGCACTAAGATTTCTGACCTGGGCTAATCCTTTACTGTAATTCAGAGACATAAAAGCTCATTTAGAACACAGGGCTGGCAGAAGCAGTTGATTCGAGGTGAGGCTCCACCTCAAAAGAGAGAGACTATGGGGCTGGGAATGTAACTGAGTAGTTGAGTGCTTATGAACAAGGCCCTGGATTCCCTCTCTAGTAGTGATGATAAAAGTAACAAGTGAATGCAGAAAGCAGGTAACTTCCACCAGGGGGTCAAGAAAAGAATAAAAGGGGTAGGCTGCATATAGTAAATAAATACTGCTATCAAGCACCAAGTGGACCCTTATTGTGTGACCTGGGACCGACTGACTTTTTTTGGGTGGGGGGCAAAAATCTATTATGTAGGTTTGGCTGTCCTAGAGCTTACTATGTAACCAGGCTGGCCTCAAACTCACATTCTCCTGCAGTCTTCCCCTCCCCAATCCCTAGGTATGCACCACCACATCCTGCAGACCATGACTTTAATCTGCTTTCTGAGCTTCAGGCCTATATCAATAAAACGGGG